AAAATTAGCCGGGCGTGGTGGTGCACACCTGTAGTCCCACCTACTCGGGGGGCTGAGGCAGTAGAATAGCTTGAATCCAGGAGGCGGAGGTTGCAGTGAGCCAAGATCATGCTCCTGCACTCCAGGCTGGTGACAGAGCAAGATTCTGTCTCAAAGAAAAAAAAAAAAAAAAAAGAATTCACTAACACAGGCAGATTTATTAGAGGAAGTAGGAAAATACTTTCAAGAAGGTAATGGGCAGCCAGCAAGAGAGGAACTGACTGCAAGGAAACGCAGACTTCCTGGAGATAGAATAGGTGGTTTTTGGGCTGCAGAGTGTTACATTCATTTCTGATAACACCAAGGTTGCAGGAAGCTGACTTGCATTTTTTGTATCAGCTGAGAGTCTGGCGATAGCTAGGCATAGGAAGATTGTGAGTTATTTGCACAGGACGACTCTGTGTCCTGGACCATTAGGAAAGGCAGACTTACAGCTTATCTGCTTTTTCTTCTTTCTTATTTTGCTTTCCCCTGTTCCCACTACCCTGACTCTTTTTCCCTAATTAGGACTCCACATTAATACATAATAATTTACAAAAGATAAGTGATTGGGTGGGAGGAGGAAAAAAGAAGCCAAGTCTTGGCAAAGCAGTTTAGAGAAGGAGGGATAAAGAGATGGAGAAGCAGAAGGGTGAGAAGAAGTTTTGGCAGTTTCCTTTTTTAATATATCGATAATTCTAGAGAGTTTAATTTTTTCTGTAGGGAAAGAAATTTTCAGAGTCTCCTTTGGATGCTTTTTAGCATCCAAAAATTGAAAGTAACTTTCCATTTTTTAAAAATTTTAGGCCGGGCGCGGTGGCTCAAGCCTGTAATCCCAGCACTTTGGGAGGCCGAGATGGGCGGTTCACGAGGTCAGGAGATCGAGACCATCCTGGCTAACACGGTGAAACCCCGTCTCTACTAAGAAATACAAAAAATAGCCGGGCGAGGTGGCAGCGCCTGTAGTCCCAGCTACTCAGGAGGCTGAGGCAGGAGAATGGCGTGAACCCAGGAGGCGGAGCTTGCAGTGAGCCGAGATCGCGCCACTGCACTCCAGCCTGGGCAACAGCGTGAGACTCCGTCTCAAAAAAAAAAAAAAAAAAAAAATTTATACTCAGTTTTTAAAAATTATGTACATAAATGAACTAATTTAGGTATTTTTAATGGCATTTCATTTCGGTCTTCGTAGTTTGGGTCTTTATGGGTTAAATAAGACCATTTTAAAAGATACTGATGGGAGGTCACATCATAAGTACTATTTATGAATATGAATTTAGCTGGAGTTACTTAAAGGTGTATTTTTTTTTGGAGACGGAGTTTTCCTCTTTTGCCCAGAATGGAATGCAGTGGCATGATCTCAGCTCACTGCAACCTCCACCTTTCTGTTTCAAGTGATTCTCCTGCCTCAGCCTCCCGAGTAGCTGGGATTACAAGTGCCCGCCAACACACCCAGCTAATTTTTGTATTTTCAGTAGAGACAGGGTTTCACCATGTTGGTCAGGCTGGTCTCGAATTCCTGACCTGGTGCTCTGCCACCTTGGCCTCCCATAGTGCTGGGATTACAGGTGTGAGCCACTGCATCCGGCCATAAAGGTGTATTTCTTTTGAAGGGTAAAGACTCATTGTTAGATGGATGATTGTCCATAATTTGGGGTTTTTGTTTTAATGGTCAAAGACCAAAAGGGAAAGAGTTGTTGGATCTGGCATGCTGCTTAATAAGGATTATTTCTTGAAGAGTCACCCATGAGTCACTTTTTTCCTCTTATATGTCTTGGTGAAACCCAGTAATTTGGGGCACTTAGGGCACTAGGATATTTTTGTATGTTTTTTGTTGAGGGGAGTCTTATGGGGTCCAATGTATGTCATGAAGGATGAGCTTAAATAGTTTCACAAAACCTTAGTCACTAAGCTATCTTTTGGCTGGGAGAAATAGTGTCTTATCTTTAAAACTTATCTCTGTCTTTATAGAAAGTTCTTTTATTGGCTTTGGTCATTTAAAATGGGACCTTAGATATGTCAAATGAACTGAACTTAAGAGTTTAGCCAGTTTTTTTTTTTTTTTAACTTATAAGTTTTACTTAAGTCATGCAATCTTTTTTTGAGAGAGAGAAACTTTTCTTTCCTGACCAAAATTTGAATGGGAGAAAAGGCCATGGCGGTGCTCAGTGACTCATGCCTGTAATCCTAGCATTTTGGGAGGCCAAGGCAGGCAGATCACCTGAGGTCATGAGTTAGAGACCAGCTTGGCCAACATGGTGAAACCCCATCTCTACAAAAACACAAAAAATTAGCCGGGCATGATGGTGGGTGTCTGTAATCCCAGCTACTCAAGAGGCAGAGATGGGAGAATTGCTTGAATCCAGAAGGCAGAGGTTGCAGTGAGCCGAGATCATGCCACTGTGCTCCAGCCTGGGCAACAAAGCGAGACTCTGTCTCAAAAAAAAAAAAAAAAAAAAGGGAGGGGCGTATAAATTCTAGTGAGTCATTTAATAAATAACACAACCTCAGAGAAAAGTGAAAATCATAAATCTGTGAACAGCAGCATTTTCCGAGAACAAAAACAAAACCACCTTAAAGCAGAATTTTAATTTTAGCTCTGTTGAGCACGGAATTGGGTTGCTTAAATAAAGTCTGAATTTCAATTAGAACCGGGGCAATGTGGGCCAGGTGCAGTGGCTCAGGCCTGTAATCCCAGCACTTTGGCAGGCTGAGGCGGGTGGATCAACTGAGGTCAGAAGTTTGAGACCAGCCTGGTCAACATGGTGAAACCCATGTCTACTAAAAACACAAAAAATTAGCCGGGAGTGGCTGGGTGCCGTGGCTCACGCCTGTAATCCCAGCACTTTGGGAGGCCAAGGTGGGTGGATCACGATGTTAAGAGATGGAGACCAGCCTGGCTAACATGTTGAAACCCCATCTCTACTAAAAATACAAAAATTAGCCGGGCACGGTGGCATGCACCTGTAATCCCAGCTACTCGAGAGGCTGAGGCAGGAGAATCGCTTGAACCCAGGAGGCAGAGGTTGCAGTGAGCCAATATCGTGCCATTGCACTCTAGCCTGGGCGACTGGGCGAGACTCCGTCTCAAAAAAAAAAAAAAATTAGCTGGGAGTGGTGCTGGGCGCCTGTAATCCCAGTGACTCAGGAGGCTGAGACAGGAGAATCGCTTGAACCCGGGAGGCGGGAGGCGGAGGTTGCTGTGAGCTGAGATTGCGCCATTGCACTCCAGCCTGGGCAACAAGAGCAAAACCCCATCTCTCACAGGCTCCAAATTTACTAATATAGAATTGAGCTAAATATTATTTCACAAAAACTTGAATTTGGTCTTTATGGCCATTCCAATTTTTTAAATTGCCAATTGTGTGTGTTTCCTGTTTTTCCCCATTTTTATGTAAAAATTAATATGCTTTTATGGGTTTTTTTTGACGGAGTCTCACTGTCTCCCAGGGCGGACTGCAGTGTTGTGATCTCAGCTCACTGCTACCTCCGCCTCCCGGGTTCAAGCAATTCTCGCGCCTCAGCCTCCTGAGTAGCTGGGATTACAGGCATGAGCCACCACACCCGGCTAATTTTTATATTTTTAGTAGAAACGGGATTTCACCATGTTGGTCAGGCTGGTCTCGAACTCCTGACCTCAGGTGATACCCCTGCCTCGGCCTCCCAAAGTGCTGGGATTACAGGCGTGAGTCACGGCCCCCGGCCTGGCAAAAACCTTTTTTTTTTTTTTGAGACAGAGTCTCGCTCTGTTGCCCAGGCTAGGGTGCAGCGGCGGGATCTCGGCTCACTGCAACCTCCGCCCCCCGGGTTCAAGCGATTCTCCTGTCTCAGCCTCCTGAGTCACTGGGATTACAGGCGCCCAGCACCACTCCCAGCTAATTTTTTTTTTTTTTTTTTTTTTTTTTGAGACGGAGTCTCGCCCGGTCGCCCAGGCTAGAGTGCAATGGCACGATATTGGCTCACTGCAACGCGCGTAACACTAAAATTTACCTATATTACTTACAGCTGTGATGTAAAATGGAAAAGAAGCCGGACGCAGTGACTCATGCCTGTAATTCCAGCATTTTAGGAGGCTGGGGCAGGAGGATTATTTGAACCCAGGAGTTGGGAAACCAGCCTGAGGCTGCAATGAGTGGTGATAGCACCACTGCACTCCCCACTGGGTGACAGAGCGAAACCCTGCCTCCAAAAACAAACAAACAAAAAAACAAGGAAAAGATGCAGAGGCGTCCTCCTGGAGGCGCCTTTAGGTTCTCTCACAGACATGTTGGGCCAGCACTGCTGGCTCCATCCTAGATTTCTTCCAGTCCTCCCCAGTTACCCGCCAAGCGGCTTCTCCAACCGGAAACGTCCTAGGGCGACCCCGGCGGGTGCACCGCGGAGCCCCTCGGGAAGTGTAGTTCCAGCGCGAGCGGCACTCTGGTAAATGTAGTTCTCTGCGCGTTCACTTCCGCGGTGGGGCCGTGTCCACCACTGCACTGCGAGGTCCGAGGGGTAAGGGAGTGTGCAGCGGGGGCGGGACGACTAGGCGGCGGGGCTGGAGGCAGGCTCTGTGTCTGCGCCGGGGGTCGCGGTGACCCCGCTGCGGACCGGCTAGCGGTGACCCCAGCGCGCCGGAGCTGGCTGCCGGCCGGGGCCAGAAAGGCCTGCGGGGCGGCCTGGGCGCATGCGCGGACCGCGGGCCTCGGGCGGGGCCCTGGGGGCGCGCGGGGGTGGGAGGCAGCGGGCGGGATGGGGGCTGTAGGGCGGGCGGCGGCGGGGCGCTGAATGTGGGGGTCGGGGGAGATTTGGGGTCAGCTGGGCGATTCACTGGCGGCCTATGGAGGTCCCTGTAGACTTGGGGTGCAGCGCGGGCGGGGCAAGGGGACGCGAGGCTGCTCTTGGCCCTGGGGGAGAGGGGCCCCTGGGAGGCCGTGTGGAGGATGTGTCTGCAGCGATTAGGACTCTGCTGATCAATGATTTGGATGCCTTGTGGTGAGCACTGGAGGCCAGCGGGGTGAATGATGAGGCTTCCGCGGGGGTCTGCTTGGGAGGGTTTAGGGGTCGCTTGTGTGGGTTCCATTCACGGAAGCCTGCCGGCTGTGACAGTGTTGAATTTCGCCAGAGCCTTGTGCTCCTGGAAACAGTGAAGGCTGAGGAATTTCCCACCCTTTTGGGTTCCAGGAGATGACTCGCTGCAAAGACCCCCCTTCCCTATATGATTTAGGTCAGCCTCCAGGATGCCCCTTGTTCACACAGACCCGCCACGTTGCTGTCGCTTGCCTCATCAGTGACTGGCTGAACTCCACTGAGCGGTCGGAGCAAAATGTTCCTTAACCAAACTTTAGCCAAGCTTCTTTCCTTTCCCCATTTTCTTGAGCTTTGGCCCATCCCCGGCCTGAGCCAACACGCAGCCTCGGCAGAGAACAGGCTGGCTCAGGGTCAGGCTTCCTCTGCTTTGCTCTCTGGTCGCGCGAACTTCCACCTCGCTTGGCAGGCCTGGTCTTGGCTACCCTTGTTCCCGTCTCTCTATGAAAGAAAATCCCTTTTTGCTTTGCAGAGACGCACGTGAGTCTCGTGGCTTCGGGGTTCTTCCCAGAAGCCCCTTCCCCTTCCCCTTCCCAACCCTCTTCCGCGTCTTTTTTCCCCACTTCCAGTAACCTTTCGGAGCCGTCTTTGCTATGTCCAGTTGCATGCTTTATTTGACAGCTGAATAACGGTGGTTGCTGTTTCAACCCGTCTCCAATAGCGGAGGCGAGTATGGGGTGGCCTATGCTGGCGAGTGGCTGGGGTTGGTTTCTGTGCTTGTGTTTGGGGATCTTGTGATTGAAGCACTAGGAATGGGGGCGCTGTGTGTTTGTGACAAGGGAGTCTGGATGTAAGTTAATGGTGGACCCGTTGCAGGTTGTGAGTGCGTGGACAACGGGGTCGTACTTGGCGTCATTGGAGCGGCCTGCGGGGTCGGCATTTCTGCACAGCCCCACAATCCCTTTCCAGGTGGTGTCTGGGAAGGGCTATGGGAGTGTCAGTGAATGCTCCAGCATGGAGTGGATTAGAGAATGGGGTGTCATGGGGCAAATGCTTGGGGGCCCCAGGGATAAGGGATTAGGGATCCCTTGGCATTGAGTGACGGGTCCAATTTAGGTGGTCTGTGGCGCAAGTCTGAGAATGTCAGTTATTGGGGAGGGGCTCTGTGAGCGCGGGACCTGGGCACCTGATAAAGTGAGTGAATGGAGACCAGTGTGTTCGTCCCAGGACAGCAGCCCGTTCTCCTCCCCTCCCCACCTCACCTGCAGGGGTGACTGAAGCCCCTTCTCCTCCCCTCCCCACCCTTCCCCCCCCACATCCTTCTCCTCCCCTTTCTACCCTTCTCCTCCCCTTCCTACCCTTCTCCTCCCTTCCCTACTCTTCTCTTCCCTTCCCCGCTCACCTCCCCACCCTTCTCTTCCCCTCCCTCCCCAGCTCACCTGCAGGAGTGTCTGAGTTCTGTGGGGATCCTTTGGGACTCAGTGTTTGGGGTTTCAGTCTGTGGTGATTCTTAAGTGGAGGTTTGGGGGTGCCGGTGATTATGGTGTCTGGGCATCTGTATTTAAAAGCTGTGTGGGAGTCACTGGGGTCCAGTCATCAGTTGGGCCTGTAGGGATGACTCTGCCTGGCCCATGGGGTCTATGGTGTGACATAGGAATGGTAAACGCCAGGTGAGTGTCTGGGGGCCTGTGGAGGATTAGGAATAAAAGGTCCAGTGTGCATCGTTGAATGGGGACGGTTTTGTTGGCTCGTGCCCTGTGCATTGGCTTTGTTATTTGAGGGGGTTGGAACCAGGTGAGAAGGAGCTTGTTTGTATCAGTGACCGGGTACCAGAGATGACTGAAGGACTGATGGGGTGGGCAGTGAGGTCTGTGAGGAGGAATGATCGGAGGGCTTGGGAGTTTGATGTTTGGGATGAATGCCAAACATGCATGCAAGTGTCTGTGATTGATGTGTGGGTGGGTGAGGGCGAGAAATTGGGGACCCCGTGGGTGTCAGTGAGAGGGAAGCCTGGGGAGCATAATGGTTTCTTTGCCATTTGCGGTGAATGTGGAGTTCGAAGTTAGTGGCCTTGGCCGGGTGTGGTGGCTCACGCCTGTAATCCCAACACTTTGGGAGGCCGAGGCAGGCAGATCACAAGGTCAAGAGATCCAGACCATCCTGGCCAACATGGTGAAACCCCGTCTCTCCTAAAAATACAAAAATTAGCTGGGAGTGGTGGTGGGCACCTGTAGTCCCAGCTACTCAGGAGGCTGAGGCACAAGACTGGCTTGAACCCGGGAGGTGGAGGTTGCAGTGAACCGACATTGCGCCACTGCACTCCAGCCTGGTGACAGAGTGAGACTCCATCTTAAAAAATAATAATAATAGGCCGGGCACGGTGGCTTAAGCCTGTAATCCCAGCACTTTGGGAGGCCGAGACGGGTGGATCACGAGGTCAGGAGATCGAGACCATCCTGGCTAACACGGTGAAACCCCGTCTCTACTAAGAAATACAAAAAAAACTAGCCGGGCGAGGTGGCAGGCGCCTGTAGTCCCAGCTACTCGGGAGCGTGAGGCAGGAGAATGGCGTGAACCCGGGAGGGGAGCTTGCAGTGAGCTGAGATCCGGCCACTGCACTCCAGCCTGAGCAACAGAGCGAGACTCCGTCTCAAAAAGAAAATAAATAAATAAATAATAATAATAATATTAAGTTAGTGGCCTTTGGATATCTGTGATTAGTTGTCTGGGAGCCAATATTGTGCCAGTCTGTGGAGTCAGTGGTCAGGTGTTTCTGGAGGCTGTTGTGGGGTCACTAGAGTTACCACCTGGGGGCTTTGTTGATCACTGGGGAACCCATAGCATGTGTCACTGAAAGCCCTGGAGAAGCGGCCTCTTGGGGAGAGAGACTGGGTGGCCTGTGAAGTCAGCCGTTGTGGTTCTGTGGGAGTGATAGGGGCACATGAGTGAGTGGGAGTGGAGTTTATGGGGTTCCGTGGTTGTGTGGTCCGGTCTGTGAAGCAGGCCTGTTGGATTCAGTGATCTGGGGACATCTTGGGATGTGGAGCTGGAGAATTCTCAGGTGGTCACTGTGAGTGACTGGGGGACTTGGGACGCTGGAGGTTGGCATGTGCTTGTGGCTGCGGAGTTCATTAGTTCGTGTCTGGGGTGTGTGTGTATGATTGAGGCCCTCTCTGGGACTTGGTAATCCAGGGGCCTGGGAAGTCCGTGTTGGTGGGTCTGGAAGCAGATCCGAGTGCGTATGGTTGTGAAGCCTCTCGTGTGTGACAAGTCTTTTTGCCCTTTGGCCCTCTCCTTGTAGCATGGGACCGTTGATCAGTGACTACTCTTTTTACGTGATTATTTCCTTTTTAAAAGTTCTCAGTGACCCTGTTGGCTTTCAGGTCTTCTCCTTGTAGAATTTTCCCCTTGCTGTTTGTACCTCCTGGGCCTCTTCCATCCCTCCTGATGACCTCTGGCTCCTCCGCCCAAGACCTTTGCATCTGAGGTGCCTGGAGTGGTATGGTCGGCCCAGCCTTCGGTGGTAGGCTCCTCCTGCTTCAGGCTCAGCTAAAAGCCACCTCCTCCCACAAGCCTCTCCGACGTCTGGGAGGAATGTCTTCTGTCCATCCGTCACTAGGTCACAGTTAAAATTTCCCTTTTTTTTTTTTTTTTGAGACAGAGTCTCGCTACTTCGCCCATGCTGGAGTGCAGTGGCGTGATCTCAGCTCACTGCAACCTCCATCTCCCGGGTTCCAGTGATTCTTCTGCCTCAGCCCCCTGAGTAGTTGGGATTACAGGCGTCCGCCACCATGCGCAGCTAATTTTTTGTATTTTTAGTAAAGATGGGATTTCACCATGTTGGCCAGGCTGGTCTCGAACTCCTGACTTCAAGTAATCTGCCTACTGCCTCAGCCTCCCAAAGTGCTGGGATTATAGGCGTGAGCCACCGCGTCCGGCCCACAGTTAAAATTTCTTCTGAGCGCTCACAGTCAGAAATCATTTATTTACTTGGCTGTTTCCCTGGAGGGCAAAGACGCCGTACATCTTGTTGAGTGGTCTTTTCCACGTGTGCAGAGCAGTGCCTGGTGTGTAATAAGAATTCAGCAAATGCTGCTTTCCTAGCGGGTAAATGAGACTGTGTGTGATGCATGCATGAATGTGTGTGTGATGTGTGTGTGAACATGTGTGTATGTGGTATATGTACGTGTGTGAAACTGTGAGGTCTGTGTGTGGGAATGTGTATTGTGTGATGTACGTATGAATGTGTGTGTGTGATGTTTGAGTGTGAGTATATGTGTGTGATGTACGTGTGTATTTGTGTGGTGTACGTGTATGAGTGTGTGTGATGTATGTGTATGAGTGTCTATGAGTGTGTGCACGTGTGATGTACGTGTGTATCAGTGTGTGTGTACGTGCCTGTGTGGTGTATCAATGTGTGAGTGTGTGTGCTTGTCTGTGTATGTGTCATGTGTGTTGTACGTGTGTGTCATGTACATATCAGTGTGTGTGCATGTGTGATGTACGTGTATGTCAGTGAGTTTGTGCATGTCTGTGTTATGTGGGATGTACGTGTGCATCAGTATGTGTATCTGTGTGTGTCTGTGATATGTCTGAGTGTGTGTGTGTGTACGTCTGTGTGATGTACATGTGCATCATTGTGTCAGTGTGTGTACGTGTCTGAGTGTATCTGTGATGTATGTGTACATCAGTGTGTGTACATGTCTGTATATATGATATATGGATGCGTCTGTGTGCATGTCTGAGTGTGTATATGTGTGAGGTACATATCTCTGTGTGTACATGTCTGTGTGTGAGTGTGATGTACATATCGGTGTGTGTACATACATGCATGTGTGATATGCATGCGTATCTGTGTGTATGTGATGTACATATCTCTGTGTACGTCTGTGTACATGTGTATGTGTGTACGTGTGATGTACATGTGCATCAGTATCTGTGTACATGTCTGTGTGTGTGTGATGTACGTGTGTATCAGTGTGTGTGTACGTCTGTGTGACGTACATATCTGTGTGTGCGTACGTGTCTGTGAGTGTGATGTACGTATCAGTGTGTGCGCTCGTGTCTGTGTGTCTGTGATGTATGTATCAGTGTGTCTGTGTGTACATGTTTGTAATGTACGTGTGTATCAGTGTCTGTGCGTGTCTGATGTACACGTGTATCAGTGTGTTTACGTGTCTGTGTATGTGATGTACATGTCAGTGTGTATGTACGTTTGTGATGTACGTATTAGTGTGTATGTGATGTATGTGTCTACGTGTCTTGAGTGTGTGTATATATGATGTACGTATTAGTGTGTCTGTGTGTACATATCTGTGAGTCTGATGTACGTGTGTATCAGTGCGTCTGAGTGTGTCTGTATGTGTGTATCTGTGTGTGTGTGTCTGAGTGTATGCGTGATGTACATATTGTGTCTGTGTGTACATGTCTGTGATTTACGTATCAGTGTGTCTAAGTGTGCATGTCTGTGTGTACGTGTGTGTGCATCTGAGTGTGTGATGTACGTGTGTATCATTGTGTCTGTGTGTACGTCTGTGTGT